TATCAGTGAGGCAAGACTTCCATTCTGCTATTAAAAATATGATTGGTCCTTTTAACAGTAAAGCAGTACTATAGCTGAGCGTAATTTATGTAACATTTTGTAACACAGCAACGCAATTGCTCATGTGAAAGGTGTCTGTGTTTTACATCCATTCCTGTACTATACACAGAATGAGTGACTAAACTGATCATTTAAAGCTCATTAACAAAAGTTGTTTACTTAGAGCTTTCCTATCACCAAACACGCCGCTAGCCATGCTTTGCTGTTTTTGTTACAGCCACATGAGTGTAAACTGACATTAGACGGTGAGGTTCGACAACTACATCAACAATGATCTCTTCATCGGCACCTGGTTAAACTACATGCCAGGATCCGGAGCCAGGAAAAACTAACTAATGAATTACCAAAACATATCAGGCTCATTACTTCAACATGTTGCAGTGTATCCTCGCTAATAAAAACAAATTGCACGGACTTGTACCTCTCCTTGTTATTCCTGTCTGTTGCGCTTCCTCTGTGTGTCGACCTGGGAGTAAAATCTCCTTAATAATCACAGTCAGCAGCATTAGGAGCAGATGTTTGGTGTTCGTTTGGTATGAGGCAAATTATTTTAATTAGGAGATGTAGAGGTAAGGGCCCGTTGCTCTCAGTGGAAGCCCAGTGGAGTTTGAGGAGGGTTGTTGTTGGGCTGGGTGGTCTTCAGCTTTCTACATGAGGCCCTCAAGAAATTTTTCAGTCCACCTGTAATTACACATGATTTTGTGGTTGCAGGACTTTAAATTTTGTACTCATAAGTAATGAATGCACACATGTACAACATTTACATTTAAACATTAAAAATTGCTTGCTGTCAGACAAATGGCCTGGTGGACACTGTATGTGTACTCTTTTGTTTGATTTTAGCTTGTGCCATTTCCGGCTCATTACTATTATATTTGTTGTGCTTAAAAGTAATAAATAAAAATAATATATTTTTTGTATATAATATAAAGTAATAATAATAATATCATAATGTATTATTATTATTATTTATAGCATGCATATCATGTTGTATTCTTTATGCATATTTAAATAAAACCATTGAATTACCACAATTGTGAACTGTACAAATACATTGGAAAAAAAACAATGTATTAGAGAATTACCATTAAGAATAATTGGAATTACAATAAAAACAATAAAAAGAAACCATCTATGGTCAAACTGAAGTTAAACTTAATTTAAAACTTTAAGGGGTCTTGTTTGTGAGAATATAATTGTACATAATATATGAAATGATGTCACAAGACAAAAAAATTGTAGTCCTAAAAACGTTTCATTTTCTTAATGCAAAAAAATATAATTTCTTGTACACTCTCAGAAAAAAAGGTACAAAAGCTGTCACTGGGGCAGTAACCTTTGAAAAGGTACATATTTGTACTCCTAAAGGGTACATATAAGTACATTAAAAGTACATTTTAGTACCTAAAGTCTACATAATTGTACATTAATGGTACATATTTGTACCTTTCAAAAAGGTACTGCCCCAGGGACACGGGTGTTTGCATGTCTTTTATGCCATTGTTAAACTCCTGAAATTGTATACCCTCTGTGGGTAAGCCCACCTGTGTCTGGAGAGGTTAGTGTGACCTCTCCTTTTTTAAAGTGGAATGTATCAGTTAACAATATCAAAGTAGGCAAGCAGGAGAGGGCATGAAGGCCAGTAATAAAATGGGGCCCATTATGAACTAAATGCATGCACACACGCAGCTGAGTCCCTGCAGATGAGAGGCCAGACACGCACCGCGTATATTATCATTACTATAATCATCTCCACATTACACCATATACTTTTATAATACAGTCACACCTAAATGCAATGACAGTATTTTAAAGTCTTAATTACAGTATTTTACAGTCAACACGGGTTCAGGTCAGGTTTCCAAACTGAATGGAGATATTCATCCATCCACAAAAGGACAAAATACAAATATCTTTTTAACCCACAGAACTCATTCTATTCAGTCTAGTGCAATACATATAATTTGTGTGGAAATCATATTGAATAATGTTGTTTTTACTGTACTAAGGCATGAGAACTATCAATAGTGGCTTATGTAACACAATGCGCCATAAATCCCCATGGGATTAACATAGGAAGACTGTTTTTTTTTTAATTCAGGGACCTTTATGTACTTGCTGGCCATTCAAAACGGTGGATAATGTCCAAAGGTTTTAAATTAGCTTGTGTGAAAACCTTTAAAAAAGTTCTTTATCACACAACGTGTCTCTGCACATTACAGTTTGCCAGTAATGCTAGCTAATCTGACCTTCTTTCCTCTTGCAATCTATTCAGGAACATGACTACTGGCTTTTTATTAGGCTTTACAACCCTGTGAAGGTGTCTTGCAAACATTCATTGGCAGGCTATAAAGTTTTGGCACACATAAGTTTACCGTTTTCTTTTATGACCCGATATCTCACACCAGCTTGTGTCTTTTTACTCTTGCGTGACTTTGAATATTAACACAGCAGTGAGAAAAGCACTTGCTAAAACATTGCTGATGGATGTGGTGTTTTGACTGGCAGGAATGGGTGAGACTTTAATTACTTTAATGTCTGTAAGGAAGTTTCCAGGTGTAAATAGTCAATTCAATTCAAATTCAGACTTCAGTAGTGAGTTCAGTAGTGTTAGTGGACTGAATGTGAATGGACTGATAATGGGTGTGAATAAGGACTTTGTGATTGAAGGGAAAGTAAATGCTTGGTGATCTGCACTGTATGGAAAATTGAGAGGACGACCATTTGAGATTTCAATAAACTCTAATGTTTAGGCTACGTTTACACCACAACGATGTAGTCAAAAACGGAAAAGTTTTTCCCTTGTGTTTTTAAAAAGTTTCACGTATACATGTCAACGTTTTCAAAACGATTCGCGTTTACACATATCCAAAAATGCTGTATTACGTATGCCAGGCCAGTAGTTGCCGCTGTCACCTTGTTGGTAAACAGTACTTGTTGCGGTGTGTATATGATGTGTCTCCGCTGTTGGTTGTAATATTGGTGAAGTAAAGCCACATTTTTGCTGCAGAAGCATTAGCAAACTCTTAAACAGCAACAAAAGTACCATGTACTCCACCATTTTTGTGAATGTTTGTTCGCGCTTGCCTTTAAAATCAACACGTACTGCGCATGTCTACATAACTAACACGTACTACGCATGCGCCGTTTTCAAAGATTTCCGTATTGGGTGTTTACACGGAAACGATAACGGTGGCGTTTTCAAAAACTTGCACTTTGAAACCCGTTTTCAAAAATATGCGTTTTCAGTCCCCAAAACGCCGTTGTCATGTAAACGAACAGGCAAAACGCATAAAAGTTTCCTGTTTTTGGCTGAAAACGTTGTCGTGTAAACGGCCCCTCAGTTTGTGGATTTGAACTATGGATATTTAGGATTAAGTTTTGTGACAATAGCAGTAGTTTTACTTTGGATTATCTGAGAACATTCTGGCTGATTCTTGTGTAAATTGTAAGGCAATTATTTGAACTTCCTTTACTGTCAGGTTATTGTCGTGTTTTTTTTTTTTAAAGAGACCACCACAAATGCAACAAATTTGTCAAGGAAAATGAAATAAATTTATAATGATCTAATCTCAACATGCAGAAATTAGCTGAAAGTGGATTTAAATGCCTAGTTACCACAGTTAAACTCATATGAGAAACCATTTTTCATTTTCTTAATGCAAAAAAATATAATTTCTTGTACACTCTCAGAAAAAAAGGTACAAAAGCTGTCACTGGGGCAGTAACCTTTGAAAAGGTACATATTTGTACTCCTAAAGGGTACATATAAGTACATTAAAAGTACATTTTAGTACCTAAAGTCTACATAATTGTACATTAATGGTACATATTTGTACCTTTCAAAAAGGTACTGCCCCAGGGACAACTTTTGTATCTTTTTTTTTTTTCCTGAGAGTGTATAACTTAAAAAGTAGGCAAGCAGGAGAGGGCATGAAGGCCAGTAATAAAATGGGGCCCATTATGAACTAAATGCATGCACACACGCAGCTGAATCCCTGCAGATGAGAGGCCAGACACGCACCGCGTATATTATCATTACTATAATCATCTCCACATTACACCATATACTTTTATAATACAGTCACACCTAAATGCAATGACAGTATTTTAAAGTCTTAATTACAGTATTTTACAGTCAACACGGGTTCAGGTCAGGTTTCCAAACTGAATGGAGATATTCATCCATCCACAAAAGGACAAAATACAAATATCTTTTTAACCCACAGAACTCATTCTATTCAGTCTAGTGCAATACATATAATTTGTGTGGAAATCATATTGAATAATGTTGTTTTTACTGTACTAAGGCATGAGAACTATCAATAGTGGCTTATGTAACACAATGCGCCATAAATCCCCATGGGATTAACATAGGAAGACTGTTTTTTTTTTAATTCAGGGACCTTTATGTACTTGCTGGCCATTCAAAACGGTGGATAATGTCCAAAGGTTTTAAATTAGCTTGTGTGAAAACCTTTAAAAAAGTTCTTTATCACACAACGTGTCTCTGCACATTACAGTTTGCCAGTAATGCTAGCTAATCTGACCTTCTTTCCTCTTGCAATCTATTCAGGAACATGACTACTGGCTTTTTATTAGGCTTTACAACCCTGTGAAGGTGTCTTGCAAACATTCATTGGCAGGCTATAAAGTTTTGGCACACATAAGTTTACCGTTTTCTTTTATGACCCGATATCTCACACCAGCTTGTGTCTTTTTACTCTTGCGTGACTTTGAATATTAACACAGCAGTGAGAAAAGCACTTGCTAAAACATTGCTGATGGATGTGGTGTTTTGACTGGCAGGAATGGGTGAGACTTTAATTACTTTAATGTCTGTAAGGAAGTTTCCAGGTGTAAATAGTCAATTCAATTCAAATTCAGACTTCAGTAGTGAGTTCAGTAGTGTTAGTGGACTGAATGTGAATGGACTGATAATGGGTGTGAATAAGGACTTTGTGATTGAAGGGAAAGTAAATGCTTGGTGATCTGCACTGTATGGAAAATTGAGAGGACGACCATTTGAGATTTCAATAAACTCTAATGTTTAGGCTACGTTTACACCACAACGATGTAGTCAAAAACGGAAAAGTTTTTCCCTTGTGTTTTTAAAAAGTTTCACGTATACATGTCAACGTTTTCAAAACGATTCGCGTTTACACATATCCAAAAATGCTGTATTACGTATGCCAGGCCAGTAGTTGCCGCTGTCACCTTGTTGGTAAACAGTACTTGTTGCGGTGTGTATATGATGTGTCTCCGCTGTTGGTTGTAATATTGGTGAAGTAAAGCCACATTTTTGCTGCAGAAGCATTAGCAAACTCTTAAACAGCAACAAAAGTACCATGTACTCCACCATTTTTGTGAATGTTTGTTCGCGCTTGCCTTTAAAATCAACACGTACTGCGCATGTCTACATAACTAACACGTACTACGCATGCGCCGTTTTCAAAGATTTCCGTATTGGGTGTTTACACGGAAACGATAACGGTGGCGGTTTCAAAAACTTGCACTTTGAAACCCGTTTTCAAAAATATGCGTTTTCAGTCCCCAAAACGCCGTTGTCGTGTAAACGAACAGGCAAAACGCATAAAAAGTTTCCAGTTTTTGGATGAAAACATTGTCGTGTAAACGGCCCCGAAGCCATATTGTGTTTTAGGTTTTAGTTCTTTTGACAGATACCGCGCCAAAGCATAATGGCCCAAAACACAACTTTAAAGACCTTTTATGTTAGCATAAGAAGTTTACATATATTTTAAAAACTACACTTTTTGCCCGGAAGAGCTATAGTTTCATATCGTCAAGTGACCACGATAATATCGAGACAGTTTTGATGGTATCGCTACATCCCTAGTAAACATCATTATTCATTCAGTACTGTAAAATGAAGTTATGCAAATAAATCGTCCTGTTTTATTCTTAGCTGCTGTGGAACTACAAGCTCAATCTGACGACTGATCCGAAGTTCGAGTCTGTCGCCATTGAGGTGTGCAAGACCACCATCAGTGGGGTCAGTATGCATAGAGGTGGCGAAGGAAAACCAACTTTTATCTCAAACTGTACCACAAAGTCACTGTAAACCGAAATCGTTTAAACCTGGTTTGTCTCCAGATTAAGGAGTGTGCCGCTGAGGAACGTGGGAAGGGTTACCTGGTGTCGTGTTTAGTAGATCACCGCACCAACATCTCCGAGTACCAGTGTAACCAGTACATCACCAAGATGACCAGCATCGTCTTCAGCGATTACCGGCTGATCTGCGGCTTCATGGACAAGTGCAAGGACGACATCAACAAACTGCACTGTGGAAGCGTCAACACTGGAGAGAAGGTAAGCCCAGGTGCA